CACAAAACAAAACACTAGACGAAGAGGAGAACTCTGAGCGAAAGATCGAGAAACGAGCCTTCACAGGCCAGAGGGCCGCTCCAACATATCCACGGATATCCACGCGCGAGCAGCGAAACATACGCCAAAGCCCACTCTTACCCACTCCATTATGCACGTTTTACGTGGATCATGGTGCCATGGGTCTGTGGCTCTGGCTCCTCCGTAGCTCCCAGCTTGCCAAGGGGAGGGGTGGGCCATACGGCCCATACCTAGCTATCTTTCTCTGGCGTCTTCGGAGACTGCACCTTGCCGGTACCACCAGAATTCGACTGACGAGCTTGCGAGGCCACCGGAAACTGCGTGCATCTCGTCACTCTCATGCATTTTTTTTTTTTTTTACCATGGAATCACGGCACGCATGGCGCATCCGTACGGCACTCCTCGGCACTCCTCCTCCTCCCCTCACTCGCTGGCCTGGCTGCGTACCAGTCCTCCAGTGCCACCCTGTTGCTGTGCCTCCTCGCCTCAGTTACATGCCGTGAGGCCGGCGATGGCAGATGCAGCTTGCGGCGCCCCGTCTCCGACCATGTACCACTTCCAAGTTCCAACACGCCTGAATCCACACGAGAAAATGGGTTCTGCATCCACCAGAGCCCGCCGCGCGCAACCAGTGACCAGCAACCTGGGATGCTGTTGCTACGCTCCCGGTATGTCGACGGCGGCTGCGTACGCAGCAGAATGGCGGTGCAACTTCAGCACGTCAACGCTTACCAAGTTTACCATTCGGCATAGTGCAAGCTGTACTGCCCATCCCGTCATCTCCAATACTTGCTCAGCTACGGTGGGCTATCGCAGGTAGTGGCTCCCGGCATCTCGGGACTTACGTCTCATAGCGTGATGTGCTATCCAGGTATCTTGGTCGTCGCACAGTCGCACTCGCTGAACTCTACCTATCCTTGGCCTTCACACGACCGCCGATTTCACTACTGCGGTAGCCGCAGATGCCCGACGCCGTAGATGCCGCGCATTCTGCAAAGTTCACTGCCATCCCAGAGTCACCTAAGCCCAAGACGATGGATGCGGGTTATCTTCCAGTAACTCTGAATGGCTCCGTTGGCATGCTCAATTCGCCCACGCCCATGGCCAAGCCATGCCTGTCTTCTTGCCTCTGAGACCCGGTTATCCAGGGTCCTACTGTAAGGTTCTCAAATCGTGATCATCGATTGATTTTCCTGATGCTTCGCTAGCTGCGATTTCCTCCTCTCTCTCCATTTTCTTTTTTTTCTCTCAACTAAACTTTCTTCTGCAGCATGAATGATGAGGCTCCTCTCCTTCGCCGTGGAGACGGCGCTAGAGCCGGTCAGGCCGAGAGTAAGGGTCGTTTCAAGCCACTATCAATATTCAGCTTAATGGGGGCGCCCCGGCGACTTGAAATATCTCAAGATTGCTTCAAATTTCCCCTTCCTTTCCTTGCGCTTCGGCCGCCTCGCCCCCGGCTGCGGCATCTTTCCACGCCGAAATGATTTGCTCAGGGCGCTCTTCTCTTGGCCTCTGGAGACTGGAGGGGTCTTGTCATTCTTGTGCGCGTAAAGCTGCATCACAGAGCAAGGGGAAACCCTTTCTCGTGTTCTTTGAATAGACTTTTTTTTTGGTTTCTAGAAGGAGTCGGGTAAGGTAAATGAACCAAGAGGATTCTGACTGTCAATCCCCTGGCCATGTCAGCCCCATTTTATACGGATACGAGAGGGAGTTGGTCTTGGGACCCTTCGGTTTGTGACTTTGTCCACGGCTGTGTAAGCGCACTACAAAGATCTGTACATGTTCGTACGTGTGCTAGGCGTCCTCACCCAGGCCTCCTTCCGGCAAATGGTAAAGGATTCAAGCTACCTGTCACCTTGCCGATAGCGAGCACGAACTTCCAAGGGGGAAACAGAACCAGTCGGCACGAGAGTACACCATTGCGGCGGTTGTGTTTGGGCAGATAATGTTGGTTATCAAGAGATTTGGGGTAATGTAGGTAGAGTTGTTAGACCGCCCGCGTCAAGCTCAAAAAGGGTGCCATCGTGCCATGCGGCCGGTTTCAGATGAAGTAGAGACGATGGTGAGGAACGATTTAAAGGGTGTTAAAGACGCCCGGGCACGCCCCCTTGAAAGATTAGAGAATACCCATCCCAAGGAAATTTCCCAGGAATGTCGACGCTGGGCTGGGCCAACGCGATCATCCCAACGACCCGGCCGAACGAACACCTCTTTACAGTCAGGCAGTTTGCACCCTTTTCACCACGGATGCGAAGAATGGTGAAACCAAACCCGCGCCGGCCAAATTTGGGGGGCACGGGGGTCACGTCCAAGGAACAACCGGGCTTTGGGAGCGGGCGGGAGCCACAACTTGTCAAGGACTCGAGATTGCGACTTGTCTCTGATCGCCGTCAGGACAGGGGCGTTCCTGATATGATTATACGAAGTATTACACCTGTACTCCGTACGGATTTACATATGTGTGAGAACTTGAGAAGGGGGAACACATCGGTAAGCCACTGCCGCACAATTTATGCGCCACTCGCGAGCGTTCAATCCCATCATCATCATCATTTTCAACCCGCAAAATCCACCACGAGTCCTGGGCTAAGGCGCGCCCCCGATAAAATCAAGTGAGGCGAATAAAGGTGTCCGCATTTCCTGGAAATGAGCCGGACTTGTGCAGGACTGCAGGTAAACAGTTGCCCTGGACACGGGCCGTGGCCCGTATAACACTGTAATCCAAAGTTTCTCCATTTACCTAGTATATATCCTTGCTTTCGGCCGCAATTTCGATATGTCGTTGCGGGTATCAAGACCATGGCCCTCTCGGATGTTTCTTCACCACGCGACACGCGCCGCTCTTTGCTCAGTCAGTCCAACTTATGGATTCAACGAGCGAGTCGCGCGCGACACAAGCGTGATACCGCAACACGGAGGGCACGTTTTTCCCCTTGCCTTTCGCGTCTCCTTTAATTCTTGAACCAGCTGGCACGGACCTCCCGCATCCAGTCCGACGGATGCCTTGGGGACGATGGACCTTACTTTGGTGTCAAAAGCGGGGAACGGCCGGCAACCCGTTCGACAGTCCGGCCCGTCTCACCCTTTCCTGCCACCATGATCGGTCCAAGTACCCATCCCGAGCTCTGTGTTGCTTCCGTAGGACGCTACCAGCCAGGCTGAGGGGAGACAAGAGTTGGAGGGATAGGGTGAGGACTTGGATATTCGATATTCCCGCATACAGGGATCCATCTTTAAGAAAATTCGATTGCATCTGGGGAAAGGGACGCGTTACCATCATTGCGTACGACGAGGCGAAGAAATCCCACTTCCCGACACTTTTGCGCCAGATGTTTAGGATGTTGGGAGTTTGCTTCCGGTCGATCAGTGAACCTTTTCCCCCGGAATTTCCCCTCATCAGGCCTGGACGCTCGTAACGCTTTAGAGACAGCATTCCAGATTGTTCCCAGTCGCTCGGTGGTATGTATCCGTACTCCGTCCACGGCCGTCAGAGGAGAGACCTGGATATGGATACTTATCTTGTCAATTCCGCTAGTACTTCATTCCAACGATTCTTCGTCTCACTGCCACGCTGCGGGCCAGTTTGTAGTGATGTCATACTTTTCACCGATGTCTGCCATGTTGCCCGATCTGCCAAATTCGGCGTACCAAACGTAAGCTAGGTAGTCGTGCGCTGTCAAGACGACTAGCAAACTGGCGGACTGCTCATTTTCCTTCGTGGTAAGGTGGGAATAGCTAGTTGAACTGGAGGAACAGGCCGGATCGTCGCAAGCCAGATGGCGCATTGAAGTTTTGGACCAGAACTAATGGTACCTAGCCATCACCTAGCTGTGCAAGCTCCCGTGTATGGTAGCTTTTCAGGAACTGCTCCTGGCGTCCTGCTGTTGTCCCACGCCCCCCTTCTTTGTTAAATTGATTTTTTTGGTGGCTTGTTGGTGACCTCTTCCCGAAGTTGCCGAAGCCCTCCCTGGTAAGCGTTACCACACGAACCACGCGAGGAATGTCTCTTATCATCCAACGGCATTTGGAACTTCTGATTGATCTTGCGTATAATTGTCAGTCGATGGAAAAGCGAGAATGATGCCGGCTATTCGCCCGTGCGTAATGACGTTGCCAACAGTCGGTTTTTTGGTGTGAATAAGATGAAGCGAAGAGAGACTGCGGTTGATCGTAATCATCTGTGCCCAGATTGTCACTGACCTGCAGTCCTGCACCAATGTTTTGGGGCAATCATGTCTCAGATACATAGACCTCAGATGCAAATGCGACTAAAGCAAGAGAGCTCCTGCAGCTCAGCTCTGTCAGCTGGTTGATCAACATGTTGATCTTTGTTTGGCAAGAGGTGCATCCTCCATCTCTTGTGGCGTTGTGGCTGGAGAATTAGGGTAAAGCCTCAGCCACATGTACCGCCACATTCTGCCCAAGCCACATAGGAAGTTGCAGAACCGACATTCCGACCGACTAACCGACTACCTCACGCGTCGAACCTAAATCCCGCCCAAGCAAACCGAGCCCGAGGTCGGGACCTTGCTGCATCTGCCGTCGGATTATTTTGCCGAATTTGGCTCGCTTTCACGTATCCCGCCCCCGGCCTCCGCATGCCGACGCACTTCGCAACCGCAAAGCTGCACTTGACCGCCCGCCGTTCGAGGGCTGGCAGAAACTCGGCAACCCAACTCAACAGAAAATTGGAGGGGCTGTCCCACTTTCGCGATCTTACGATATCTGGTTGCACGCTCGCCCTTCCAGCTTCGACATCGTCACCAATTGACTGCGACAGCTTTCCCGATTACTCCAGCTTCGCGGTTGTCTAGTGAGTAGCACGTGTTTCCTATCCATGGCATCGACTGACCTATTGTCCTTTTTCGCAATTTTTCCAGATTTCCCTAGACCCGTAACGAAAGAGCTAGCAAGCTCCCAGCTACACGTCCAATCCCGCTTTCTGTGGAGAAAAAGAGTCCTCAGACACCATCTTCAAAATGTCCGAATTGACTACCCGCAAATACTTTGACAACATTTACATTCCCGCTGGTCTGATCGTCTTCGGATGCTTCATTACCAAGCGCGAATGGACGCCGTACGCTGTTGCCCTGGCGCTCGCGCTGGCAGCCTACAAGTTCAACGCCATGCGTGAGTTCGGCCCCTCTCGGAATACCTCGGAATTGCCCACTGACGAACCCCCTCACGCAGAGATCAAGAAGGTCCTGAAGCCTGATACCTTCCAGGACTTTGAACTCAAGGAGAAGACCATCATCTCGCACAATGTCGCCATGTAAGTCGTACTTCCGAAGCTTCAAAGCCCGGAATTCCCAGCTGACAAGCGTCCGAAGCTACCGCTTCAACCTCCCCAGCGAGAAGGCCATCCTCGGCCTGCCCATCGGCCAGCACATCTCCATTGGTGCCAACTGCCCCCAGCCTGATGGCACCACCAAGGAGATTGTGCGCTCCTACACTCCCATTTCTGGCGACCACCAGCCCGGCTACTTCGACCTCCTGATCAAGTCCTACCCCACCGGTAACATCTCCAAGTACATGGCATCGATGAAGGTCGGACAGACGCTCAAGGTCAGGGGTCCCAAGGGCGCCTTCGTCTACACCCCGAACATGGTCCGTCACTTTGGTATGATTGCTGGCGGCACTGGTATCACTCCCATGCTCCAAATCGTCCGCGCTGTCATTCGTGGTCGCCCAACCGGTGACAAGACCGAGATTGACCTCATCTTCGCCAACGTTACCCCTCAGGATATCCTGTTGAAGGAGGACCTGGACGCTCTCGCCAAGGAGGACGCTGGCTTCCGTGTGCACTACGTTCTTGACAAGCCCCCTGCGGGCTGGACCGGCGGCGTCGGTTACGTCACTGGCGACATGATTACCGTAAGGCCTCCCAGTGGATCTCGTATCCTGCGTGCAGAGCTAACCTATACTACAGAAGCTTCTCCCCAAGGCTGCCGACGACGTCAAGCTTCTGCTTTGCGGTCCCCCGCCAATGGTCAGCGGTCTGAAGAAGACGGCCGAGACTCTTGGTTTCAAGAAGGCCCGCCCCGTGAGCAAGCTCGAGGACCAGATCTTCGCTTTCTAAGCTTGTCAAAGCTAGAGAAAAGTCGGCCTAACAAATTAAAAACTACATTGCGTGGGAGGAAACGGCGTTCTGCATGTTGATGGGCACCAGGGGAAGTCGATATAGATGCATTTCCAGATTTCAAGGTGCTGTTCCAAGGGTCCCGTAGATAAGAGCTTCTGCATTCGGATAGCTTTGTTGCGACTGAGCTGTCGTGTAGAAAGTGTGCCCCACCTTACATAATGCCACTACATCCTAATCCCTGCAAGTTGACGTCGCAAAGTGAACCGACCACTACTTCGTGTGAACCAGCGTGCCAGGCTACAACCACGAAATTTCTCTTTCTGTCAAAGCATTTCACAACACAACCCCGTCGACACTCAGCGCCATGTCAGACGGTACGAAAGCTCCGAGGATAGCGATCAGCTTCGGCGGCTCCTCAAGCTCAAAAAATAACAAGAAACCCTCGCGCCCAGACCCACCTTCATCACTCGGCAAACGGTCAAGAACGAATGCGCTAAACAACTTTGACTCGGACTCCGACGGCGAGCGCGATCATGGCCGGGGACGACACGAAGCGATTACAGAACTCGGCGGCGACTCTGATCGGAAACGAGAAAAGAAGCCCCGCGAGCTGGTGATTGAGAAGCAGAGCAACCGCGACTGGAAGGCGGAATTGCGCGGGCGCCGGGGAGGCAAGAATCTGTTGCCTGCCGAGGTGCAGGCGCAGCGAGAGCAGGAACGGAACGGCGCGCAGCAGGAGGTAGAGAGAGAGCCCGCCGATGCTGAGAAGCAGATACAATGGGGGTTGACCGTCAAGAAGCGCAAGACGAGCGAAGAGGGAACCACACCCAGAGAGCAGGGTGAGACAGCAGCAAACGACGACGACAACGACGGCCAGGGCGGCGATCGGTCACCAAAGGAGAAACGGGCACCTCGTACAGCGGACGAAGACGCCATGGACGCCTTACTCGGAAACAAGCGCCAGGAGGAAGAAGACATTGTCATCCAGGCCACGGAGCAGGATGCCTACCTCTCCGACATCAAGCACGTGGGCGAGGACGCGACGCTCGCAGACTACGACGCGATACCGGACGGCGAGTTCGGCGCGGCGCTGCTGCGAGGCATGGGCTGGGACGGCAAGATGCGCGGGCCCAAGAAGAAGCAGCCGACCGAGAGGCGGCAGAACCAGCTCGGCCTGGGGGCTAAGAAGCTCGAGGGCGCCGAGGACCTGGGGCAGTGGAACCACGGCGGGAAGAAGAAGAGCGGACGGCCGCGGCTGGACGAGTACCGTCGCGAGGAGGAGAAGAGGCGCAGCGAGCGCAAGGAGCGGAGGGGCGAGAGCTATAGGGATGAGAGGGATCGTGAGCGGGAGAGGGACCGAGATCGGGATAGGTATGGGGGTGGGCACCGTGATAGGGAGAGGGAGCGGGATAGGGATAGAGATCGGGATTATTACAGCTCCAGACATCGGAGCGGCGACTCAAGACGATGAAGAATCTGCGGGGGGTTCAGCGAGAGGCTATCCCTGTTTCAGGTCATGGCAGAATTGAATAGTTTGTCCACGGATAAATAGACCAACCGGACATGTTATTCATGACACTCCCAAAAAGAAATCCATTAGGTAGCGAGGGTAGCCCGCGGCGTCGGTGACGCCCATCAACATCAGTATACTGGGATCCAGTTACCATCATGACTTCGGAACACAATACCAGAGCATGGCCGGACCGATTGTACGTGATGTGATGCCTTGAAAGCCGCATCCTACTCAGGTTGTTTCCCACGTCCAATAAGGCCGAAGACTCGCCGTGACTAGACAGCATTGATTGATGTCGGCGCTGCCTCCGCATTACCTACGTCGTGTACTTCCACCTGACCGCTGGTTCATTGTGGGGAGGTGGAAACGCCCAATATTTGCAAATTATGGTACGCAAGTCTTTAGTCAAGTGAGAATCACGGAGGCCGAAGAAACCGTGATGAAAAGACTTCGAACCCCATGGGGCTTCGCTGCATCCGTCTGGGGATTCCCCTTGGGCGCATGATCCACACAGCCACGCAACCCTGAGGGTTGGTTGAAGATACCCAGGTCTCGATATATGTGGCGTCTTCTCGTGGGCATCAATAACCACAGTCGTTATCTGTTTAAAGTTTGTCATAGCAATGGTGCCCCCACGAAGGCTTCCCTCTGTCGTGTCATGGAGAAGGAACTCTCGTGTCATGGACCACTTCGACCTCGGAGGGCAGTAACCGCTGTGGGCTATGGACACCTGCAGTTCGTTCCATCGGTCTTGTTTTTTTCTTTTCTTCCTCCTTTGCCATCCTACACATATCTCCTCGGCCTTTTCCTTCTCCTCAGATAACATTGCTTCGTTCAGCACATTCTGGGTCGGGCATTTCGTCAACTCCATGTTTACAACTCAGCTTCAGCAGTATTCCATCGATTGCCCATTTCATCATGTCGTCTATACACGAAAAGCCTGTGTCCTCTGTACAGGAAGTACAAGATAAGGAGATTCCCGATACGATTGCCTCCAACCCGGAGGCTAAGGCTGCCAGAGACTACGAAGAGCATCACAACTACATGCAGACCGTCTCGAAGTACCTCCCCGCGATCAAATGGTCCATATTCTTCGCCATGACCATCGTCGGCGAGGGGTACGACCTCGCTCTGATGGGCAACTTTTTCTCCTTGGATCAGTTCCAGAACCTCTTCGGCTACGCTCCGCAAGAGGGCGCTGTCAAGGAGATCCCAACACTCTGGCAGTCCTTGATCCTTACTTCAAGCCAGGCCGGTCAAGTTGCGGCCATGTACTTCGCCGGTTTGTCCATGGACAGGTTCGGCTACCGAAAGACGATGATGTTCTCTCTCGGATCGATCATGGTGCTCCTACTCGTCAACTTCTTCGCGCCGGCGGTCTTGCCCACGGGAGGCTATAAGGCTGGTCTCGGCATGATCTTCGCCGGCGAGTTCCTCTTGGGACTCCCTTGGGGGGCTTTCCAGGCCTGCGTTCTTCCCTATGCTTCCGATATCTCGCCCCTCAAGCTTCGTCCGACTCTCACCACTTTCGTCTCCATGTGCTGGATTTTCGGCCAGCTCTTCTCGACGGCGGCAATCAAGGGTGTTGCGAACATTGAATCCAACGACCTCATGGCATACCGCATCCCCGTCGGCATCCAATGGATATGGCCTCTTCCTGTTCTCCTCTGCGTCTTCCTTGCCCCCGAATCGCCTTGGTGGCTCATGCGCCAGTCTCGTTCCGACCTCGCGCGCACTTCCCTTGCAAGACTCAACAAAGATCCGACGTACCCAGTTGACGGTCAGGTCAAGGTCCTCGAGCTCACCAACGAGCAGGAGAAGAACAGCCAAGAAGATTCCAATATCACGTACCTGGAGTGCTTCCGTGGCACCAACCTTCGCCGTACCATGATTGTCGTTACCATGAACTTGACGCAACAGCTCTGCGGTTCGGCTCTTATGTTCTACTCGGCCAAGCTATACCAGAAGGCTGGCATGAGCAGTTCCAAATCATACGACTTTACGCTGATTCAGTACGCGATCGGCATCATCGGCATCGTCTCTTCTTGGCCCCTGATGAACTACGTCGGACGCAGAACCATCTGGCTCTGGGGATTGATGGGCTCCATCATTCTCATGACAGGTGTCGGCGTGCTAGGTTTCCACAGCGACCAGCACCCGGCAGTTCCTTGGGTCATCGCAGTCATGCTCGTGATATTCACAGGAGTCTACAATCTTTCCATCGGACCTCTCGTGTACGCTATTAACCCCGAGATTCCTTCGACCCGACAGAAAGCCAAGACACTTGTCATCGGCCGAGTAGCCTATCTCATCGCAGGACAATTCAATATGTGGCTCTTGCCAAGAATGCTGGAAAACGCTCCTAACGGATGGGGTCTTGGACCTCGGACGGCGCTGGTGTACGCTGCTATCAACGCCGCTTTCTACGTCTGGGCCTACTTTTGTCTGCCGGAGGTCCGGGACAGAACTCAGGCCGAGATGGATGAGCTTTTCAAGCTCAACATACCTGCTCGAAAATTCCGTAGTACCGAGCTGACGGCTGAATAAGGTGGTTTGTGTTTGTCAGCTGTTGCCCAGCAGTTGTCCAATCTCGTCTGGTGGAAGAGATCGAAGGGAGACGTCCCTGCTTCCTTTGTATTAGGCCCAGTCCAGTTTCGCGTGGTTTTGGAGTTCAGTATTGGGATAACGCATTACATGATAATTATGAAAAGTAAAAGTTTTGAAAATTAATCTCCCTTAATGTATGTTTGAGTAACAGAAGCTACCTCCAAGAAGCATGTCTCGGCACTGCTCTGTTATATGTGCAACATCGGTGATGACATACTCATCCCAATCCAAGCTCTGTTAGTGGCTCAGGGGCTGCCGGCACCAAAAGGTGCAGGATCCTTGGCCCCTGAATCGTGTTCTCGTCCGCCCCACCACAGCTGCCGCTGCGGCTGCTGCCGGAACTTGGTGGACTTCCCAATTTTGAGCTCCTCTCGTCAGTTCGAAACCGTCTCTCCTACATGCTGCGATCTGCAAAGCAGCCACAACACACGAACACGACTCCAAAGCAGGGGCTTGACAGCTTCCTTTAACCCAATGGCCATCGAGTGCCGGCCTTAATATTTCATCTCTTTTTTTTCCTTCTTCTTTTTGTGAACACGCTACCAGCTAAGACAAGCCACAATGCCTCAAAAATCCCCCAAACCGAAGGGTCCGCCGCCCACCGACTACAAAGCCATCGCCGAGCAATTCGCCAAATTGAAGCGCCAAAGGGAAATTGAGGAGGCTAGCAGATCCCCCGAGGAGATCAAGGCGGAAAAAGAACGAGCACTCCTTCGCGAGAAGCAGCGCGAGGTGTTTGAAGGCCGGCGCAAGAATGCCTACGAGCGTAGATGGTGGTGGACTGTTGCGTTCTGGGCGTGGATGCTGTGTCTACATGCTATTGGCATCGCCTTCTTCACCAGCGGCTTTCTCCTGACGCGACTGGTCCTCGACGAGA